CTCTACGCCTTCGACATCACTAGTTTCTTCTTCGGGAAGTAGGTTAGGTTGCATAAACAGCATTGAGTTTGGCGTCAGGGTAGGAAATTGAACATCGTCCTCGACATAGCCCAAAGGCCGATTGTTAACCGCTATTTCTACATCCAGGATCACCTCTTCAAGCTCTCCCCATCGCAAATTAGCACGTCCGATGCTCTTGTATAGTGCTCTTTTTACCAGGCCCACCATCCTCTCAAACTGGCCTCCCCACCAAGGAGCCCTGCTCAGGTTGAACTGCCAAACGATATTTTGACGGGCGAGGAAGTTTTGAAACTGTTCTTGTTTCATTACCTTTCTTATCCAATTTGCTGCTGCTTTGAAGGTCTTTCCGTTATCCGAATAGATCTTCTTTGGTCTGCCCCTTCTCGCTACGAACCGCTTCAAGCTCCTGATACAATTTTCCGCCGTCTGATCCGGAAGAAGTTCCTTGCTAGATCTATAGGTTATAGGACCAGCGTAGTCTATGCCCAGGACTTCGAATGGCACTGATCCAACTGTTCGATCTGTGGGTAAGGGTCCGACAGGAGGGTGATGAAATGTGGAAGTATGGAACTTCTTGCAGCCATAACAGTTCCTTATGACTTTCTTGCTTAGCTGTCTCAGCCGAGGTACCCAGTATTTTTGTCTCGTGTAGGCCATTGTTGATCCCACTCCCCCGTGAAGGCTTTGAACATGGGCGTTGTGAATGATTTTTGTAGTAATGAGCGCATTTGGAGGTAGATATATCGGGAAGTTTCCTTGAATTCTTCCACGGCATTCGTAAAGGTCATCAGGATTTCGTTGTAGGTTCAGCTTCAACTTATCTTCTTTGAACTGTTCCGTTTCACTGTGTGCTTCGGTCGCTCTTTTCACCCAGAACTGAACTCGTGCTTCCGTTTCAGCTGTCGTTAAAGGCCCATATGTCCGTTCAGCCTTAGAAGACTTGCCATTACAGACAAATCTGACGATCCACGCGAAGACACGCACTGCCTTCCAAAAGCTACGATTCTCTAATAGCTCGTCCAGATCATCCATCGCACACACAGCGGTTACCAACAGTTCCTTGATAGGCTTCGCTTCAGTTTCAGACTCTTTGCTAGGCTTGTTATGTATGTCAGCTGGCCATTCATCGGGTTTTGACAGCCAATCTGGTCCTGTTAACCAAGATTCTGGTAACTTCGCTGTCGTACATCCTCGGCTTCCCAGGTCGGCTGGGTTCTCGTCCGTTCTCACATGTCTCCAATTGATATATTCCTTGGCGTTAATCTTCTTGACTCTGTTTGAAACAAATTGCTTGTAGGCGCCATGTCCTTTGATCCAGTGCAGGGCCACTGTACTGTCCAACCATCCGGTGACTGATCTGACAGGGTATCCACCAAGCGCATTTCTTGCATTCTCGACCAAGTTAGTTGCCATATGTGCCGAAACAAGTTCAAGTCCCGGGATGGTCAACTCTTTCTTCGCCAATCTGCATTTTGCTGCGATCAATCCTTGGATGATGCCAGACTTTTGATGTACCACAGCGTACACAGTTGCTGATGTTCCGTCTTTGCTGGAATCTCCGAACGTATGTAGATCTACGGCTTCGATTGGCTCCTCAAGGCTGGTCAGGCATCGTGGGAAATCTAGTTTCTCGGGAAGGTTTTGCTGAAACTTCTGCCAACGAGTCGACAGTTGTTGAGGTATCTCCTTATCCCACGGCAACTTTTGATCACACACCTCTCCGTAAATGAGCTTCCCTACGAGTGCGACGGGTGAGGCAAGTCCCAGAGGGTCATAGATTGAGGCAAGGAAGCGTAATATCTCCATTTTGGTAGTCGCTGCTGTTTTCTGGGGAAAGGATATTGAAATTTTGTCTTCCACTTTATCCCATGGAAGTCCAAGCATTTTGGTTTCACCTGGTTTCACCCCAAGTTGATCTTTTGCATAACTCTGAACGGTAGGTGTTTGCTCGTCGTTTTCCTCCAGTTCACACACGTTAGAATGCCATTTGTGTAGGTCAAATTTCGCCTGTCCAAATATCTCCTTCACCGTTCCTTTCAATTTGTGTACACCGTCTCTGGTTTCTCCACCTGAGATAATGTCATCAACATAGAGGCTTCGCATTATCTCTTCAACTTCCGACGGATATTTTTCGCGTATAACTTCCAAATGCTGTTGGATTGTTGCTCCTAACAAGAATGGTGATTGCACAAGACCAAAGAGCGCGCGAGTGAATCGCAGGACTTCAATTGTCAACGTCTCTTTGTCCTTAATCCAGTGAAACCTGAGCGAATCTCTATCCTCAGGTCGAATTCTTACTTGTAGGAATGCTTGTTTGATATCTGCAGACAAGGCTACAGGTTTCAGGCGATTTCTGACAAGTACATCCCACAACAAGTTCTGGAGGGGAGGACCTGTCTCCAAGCAATCGTTCAACGATGGACTGCTCTCCGAGGCCTTAGCAGATGCGTCGTAGACAATCCGTATCTTGGTAGATTCCGCCGCCTTCCTGATGACAGGTTTGTGTGGAATGTAATACGCATTCTTCACGGGATCATCGGTTACTTTCTCAACAATCCCTTCCTTCAACTGATCTTGGATGATTTTGTGGTATGCATAGTTGGGTTGATCTTGGAGGCCAAGTACATCCAGGCTGCATAGCTGTTCGTAATTTGCTGATGAAGATTTGGTGAAGTACACACTGCTGAGATCTGCTTCTTCGCCAGCTGCCATAATAGTCCAACCGAGTGTCGTGAGTTCTCCAACAGGCTCTCCGGTCTGTCCGAGCTTGGGTTGTGTGTTGGTCTTTATTCTCGAGTAATCACTAGCTCCCAATATCATAGAAATAGGTAATTCTGGTTTAGTGTCATTATCGTCCATTGACACTTCTTTCAAATGCTCATACTGACTGATGATTTTACTGTAATGTGGGTTTGGTATAGACAACAGTACCCCCTTGTCAACTTTGCTTGCTTGAATATTCATTTCGAAAGTTCCTTGAACATTGGAGACCTTCACATTGTAACTCTCTATCTTCTGACTGGTAGAACATAACATCATATCAATTCTCTTGTACTCGGTTTTGTTGGGTTTCTTGCGAAGGAGCTTAACCAAACCAGCTGAGATGTAAGAGCTCCCAGCCCCCGTATCCAGCAATGCTCTACATTTTACACCATCGACTATTACAACTACCACCGGATAGATGACTCTGCCATTGGCAGTTGCGAGCATCATTTGTTGTTGTTGTACTTGATCACATATTGATGTGTGGTGTTTAGCCTTGCACTTCAGACAGGTAGCTAAACTTCGACATTCTGAAGCCCGGTGCTTCAGACCTGTACAATTGAAGCAACGTTTTTTCGCTGCTAGTTCTTTCTTCCTAGAAGCCACATCTACTATCTTATCACAAACTACAGATTTATGTTGGTCTGAATTGCAGTATACACAGGGCTTTGGCTTCCATTGTTGTTGGTTGACTTGGAAGAATCTACCAGATTTAACTTTTGAGCCCCCAGTGTCACTTCCTCCATGATCAGGCTTCTCTTCGATTACGATTGGATTTCTTTCACACCATTTCCTCAGGGCCTCTACCAGTTGAGTGAAACCCCAATCCTGCCACTCATCATCCAATCTTACTAAGTCGGCTCGAATCCCAGGGAGTTTGTCAAGGGTTGGTCTGACAAACCCATGTACTTGACTGAGTTTACCCATAGTTTCAAGGGCTTGGGTGTTGGTGACTAACGACTCAAAAAACTCATGTATCTTCTTGGGTTGTGTCCCTTTAACGACAGGCAATGATACAATACTTTGCATGTGGGCATTAGCTACCTCACTTGTTTTCCCATACTTTGTTTTGAGGATGGTCTTAGCTCGTTCGTACCCCTCTATGGTGAAGGGAAGCCCATCAATGTATGTACGTGCTTTTGGAACAAGGAGTTCTTTCAGATATGATAGTTTTGCAATTTGGCTTATCTCGGCTTTGTCTATCTCAGTCTCAAACTGGCCACAGAATCTTTGCCAGTCTAGGTGTGTGCCTTGGAATTTAGTAATTACTAGTTTAGGAAGTTTAGCATTGTTACCTTTTGTAGCAGATTTCATGCGTGCTTCCTCCATCTTTTTCTCATACTCCTGCTTCATTTCTAATTTGGTTTCTTCAAATTTAAGCTCTTCTTCGAAATGTAACCTTCGTTTTTCCTTTTCGATTTCCTCTTCCTCGTTTTTGACTTTAGTATGTTCTCTCGTAATAGTCTCTTTTATCTCGTCGACTACCTCTTCGAAACCTGAAACTTTGCTCTCGATATCAAGACTCCATTCTCTCACTTCCTCTGCTGTATCTCCCTTCTCAATTCTGATTTGTTGAACTTCGATTTTAAGCTTATGCGTCTGTTCGATTAATTCTTCGAAAACCCTTGTATAACGTTCCATTGCTTTTACCTTATGATCTTTCAGTACTCTTGGTGTATCTTCTTGTGTAAATTTTAGCATACGAAGTTTCCCATCGATTTGTTTTAGTAGCTCTTCTACTTTGTTGGTAGTTGACATTTTCAAGATGGTGGCGATATCTCACGAATTTTCGATTGATTACTCACACTTTTTTTATTGATTACTCACGCTGTTATTTCTCGCTCTCTCGTTGTGATTTTCGGCTAAAATCCTGCTTGGGGTCGCCACTTTGTTGGAAACGTATATTTCTACTCGACAAAACTGTTTATTTTAAACTTAAATTCATTGAAACTCTCACATTTGATTTACAAAATCTCTCCCTGTTTTGTTTTCCTCTCATCTCTGAGCCCCCGATCCTAGCGCCCGCGGGCTCTTTTGTTCGTAATACTTTATATAAGTATCAAAAGTATCTGTAATGTCAATAATGTCTAAAATTATCTACAAAACCATGGAAGATGCTGCGAATGAATTGCATGAAGAGAATTGTAACCTGATAACTAAGTGTGGTGTTTCGTGTGATGGAACCTGGCGCGACGCGGGTATTCTTCATTAAACGGTTGTGTTACAACCTTGTCGATAGACACCGGTAAATGTTTAGACGTTGAAATAATGACAAAAGTTTGCCGTGAGTGTCAAAGGATTGACAAACAAACAGATGCTTTAAAGAAAGCTGATATGCAGGATAGACATCAGTGCAAGGCAAGCTATCAAGGATCAGCGCCATCTATGGAAACAGAAGGGATCAAGAGGATATTTGGAAGGAGCGAGGAGACACGTAAGCTGCAATATACCGAGTACTTTGGAGATGGTGACAGCAAAGCATACAATGAAGTGGAAAATGCTTATGAAAATATACATGTGGAAAAGAAGGAATGTGTCGGTCATGTCCAGAAGCGAGTTGGGACGGCTCTACGGAAACTGAAGAAAGAAACAAAAGGAATTGGTGGTAAAGGGAAGCTAACTGATTCCCTTATCGATAAGCTTCAGAACTATTATGGGATTGCTATCAGAAGTAATTCTGGAGATTTAGAAGGCATGAGGAGTTCAATTCGTGCCAGCTTGTTTCATTGCGCTTCCTCTGAAAGGCGAAAACTCCACAAACACTGTCCGGATGGTCCTGATAGTTGGTGTCGGTATAAGCAAGACAAGGCAAACAATACTAGCAAGTATAAACCAGGACCTGGTCTTCCTGATGAAATAATTAAATTGGTTAAACCAATTTATGCTAGGGCTTAGTTCTGATGACCTGCTGAAGAAGTGTCTGGACGGAAAAACTCAAAACCAGAATGAGTCTTTGAATGGCATGATCTGGAACAGGCTGCCGAAGAGTATCTTTGTTGGTGCTGATGTGCTGGAGTTTGGTGATATAATGCAGTTGCCCACTTCAATATTGGTTCCAAGGCTGCAACAAAAGTCTTTAATGAACTTCATTTGGTGCCAGGACAATTTTTTGAATACGGGGTTGGGAAATCTGACAAGAGACGGGTAAAGAAATCTGACCACAGAAACACTCTGGCGGTGAAGAAGAGGAGAAAGATCCTGCGTGGTCAAAAAAAAGAAGAAAGAGGACAATACAAAAGAGAAAGAGGGCACTACATACAAGGCAGGAGCATTCTGAGATGGTAGCTATTGACTTTTAGTATTATAATGCCATTTTGAGGTGGTTTTCTTGTTGATAAAATGAAAGTTTAACTTTAAATACGTTTTCCTCAAATTGGCGAAAATTACAGATTTCCATGATTGCGCGCAGGATATCTCAAGAACGATTTAAGCTATCTTGATAAAATTTTCAGGTTATCCTTACCATGTATTGCTCTAGGAGCTAAACAAAAAAGATTTAGAGTAAGTTGAATAGTTTTGGAAATAGTAACAGTTGCTTTGTGGACAGCTGTATACATGTCGAATAATTGCTTAGCAAAAACGTTGTCATTGACACAATGTTGATATTTTAGGTTTAACTCCTAGTCAATCTTGTTAGTTAGTAAATAAAAGTTATTTCAGGATTGTATCTTTAATGCTTATCTAGCAATCCTGCATACAAGATTGTATCAATTTTCACAATGGGGGGTGCTTTATCCCGGAAACCATGGCAACAATGTTTGGCAGCAACACATTTTTTTTTGTCAGGGTGTTGAACCTAACAACATATTAACAGTAAAGTTTCATAGTATAAAAGATAGAGAAAAAAAATTTTTGGTAGTGGACCACCTTATTAAATATGTAATATATCACCAAAATAACTTTATTGGACTCTAAACCTATAATGTTCCATAATTCCTTGATGAATATTTTAATATATTTTCGAAAGAGTTTGGAGATATTATAACATATATCCGATGTACAGGCTTCACTAAATTTAATATGAAAAATTAATGTAATTTATTTCATGTAAAAGTTTCATATTTTCAGGCAATTGTTCAACAAGAATGTACATCCGGAAAGGACTGGAATTTGTCCCCAACTAGATGTTTTGATTTCTCCCTCCATTTTTCTCGACTCTATTCTTTTTTCGTCAGAAATTCAGTATTGAAAAATGGCTTTCAAGCGTTCTGATTGGCTCCTTCAGCATGCAGTAACTCTGAGGCAATAGTTACTGCTCAGACCGCTCAGCTGAGCAGTAACTATTGCTTTCAAAACAAAATGGCTGCCCAAAACATCCACTTGCAAACGTTGAATCATCAAGAAACTGAAAATTAAGAAATTAAAGCACATGCTATTCCTCTAAAAGCAAAATATGTTAACCTATTTCCGAAAGACGAAAGCACCTTTTAGATGCCTAAAACAATTTATTTGGCAATTTAATACTGGAAAATAACAGAATCGGGCGACATGGTTTGGACAGCTGGATTCGTTTGACTCAAAAGCGGAAGAGTGAAGTAAATTATATTTACAACGTTTGTATATATTGTTATTTTTCAATACTGAATTTATACTAAAACAATTAGTCACCTCAGGCTTGGCCTCGAATGCATAATGTCAATGATTACTTATGTCAACTTACGTACCGTCGAAACTTGCTTTCTTAGTGATATCGTAAACAATCAATGCAATAGTAGAGTCGCGGATGTAAGCAGGCAAAAGACAAGAGAACCGTTCTTGACCAGCGGTATCCCACATCTGAAACTTTATAGGGCGATCCTCTGCGAATAAAAATGATACGTTATGTGAAAGTTACCTACCTCCTCCACAGGCGTTTCCGTACGGGCGCGAGAAGTAGGAGGGAATTTGCGGGCGGCGCGGGAAAGGCAGAGAAAGGCCTGCTGAATAATGTTCAGATCAAGATTTACGCCCGTATTCCAAAAGCTCACTCACACTCAATGAGTGGAGGTTCAATCTGAGCTTTTCTTGAGTGTCATGGCTGTTTTTGAATAGCTGGAGGGTGAGTAGTCACATAGTAAGGTACGACACTAACCCTCCAGCTATTCAAAAACAGCAATGACACTCGAGAGAAGCTCAGATTGAACCTCCACTCATTGAGTGTGAATGTGAGTGAGCTTTTAGAATACGGGCGTAAGTGTCGATAGTCGAAAATCTGGCTGAAAATGATCCATTGTGATATATAAACATGCAGTGGTTTTGCCTATATCCTTGTTGTATTTCTCAAAAGTCATGGCGGACAACAGCGACGAAGAACGTTTCCGTAAAAAAGTGAAGATTTTATCGACAGCGGTGATGTGCTTCCGCCATCTTGAAAAGATTATACAGCAGGCGTTTCCCCACCTTTCTCGCATTTCTCAAACGCTTGTGGAGGAGGTAGCCGAGTTACTATTTATTTCTATTTATTTATGATAATATACCGGGTGTCCCAAAAAAAGCTTGCGCTGTTTGATTTCATGTAACGTAGAAACTATAAAAGCTGTTACACTCAACTAAGTTTTATTGTATCGAGGAAAGGCTAACGTAGATTTTGATATACAGCCCTAAAAATGTCGTGTAATATTGCGTGAGATTCAAATGTTTGAATTTGGCGCACGCTTTAAAAATGAGCAAAAAATCAGGAAACACGGCTGATCAAATTTATTTGAAAACAATTGCCATTTTGGGCAAAAATTAACAATTTCAATCAGTTTAGCATTTCAACTTAACTTTAATTTCGGGTAATGTCCTAGTAGGTTAGCCATTCGTGTTTCTTGGGAAGTGAAATAAACATGAAACATGTAAAAACGTTCGAAAACATATTTGAGGTCTTTTGGGAGTTCGTCGTTATAAAGTTGGTCTTCAAATGTGCATTCGCCTTTCGAACATGCCTCGATTAAGAAAAGATCAAAGAGATTGGCATGGATTTTAATGGTTTTATTTAAGACATTGTATACGTGCAAGAGGACATACTTTCTCTGATGAATAAATGTTTATCCAACAATTATGTTTTTCATTCGTTCTTTTGGCCACAATAAAATGGATTGTAAAATAACTGGATAGGAAACTTCCTGACGTCACAGTCTAAACCTAGTTGCAATCTGTGACGTCACGTGTATTGCCAAAGTTCTCAGCATTTTTGTTGTTTCGCTATATTTTCCGCTTTAAGTGCTTTAAAAGAGTAATATTGAAGCATAAACTGGTCTAATTGTTTTAAAAACATGCCTAAGCCACGACAAAGTATTCAAGGTAAATGTTTTTCGTCTTTGTTTTGTATTTTTTTTACATTTGTAGCTACGAAATTGGCGTCGCCAATTTTAACGAAATTTGCGATGCATTTTTCACTGTTTAGTGCTTGAAATATTTGCTAAAATTGACCGGGAATACTTAGAGATTTCATCGTAGAATGGCGTAGTTATATTTATTTGCTCTTTGACTAAAATGTTTAGCTGTATATCGCTAAACATGCCGTTTTTGAGAATTTGGTTTGCAACTAGGTTTCAACGCCATCATCCCATTGAAAACATTAGGTCACGTCAGCTAGTTTCCTATCCATGTATTTTATTATCCATGGTTTAACCAAATAATATTTGATAGGCAATTTTATGCAAATATTTAACATTGTCTAATATGCTTATTCGATTTAAAACACCGATAGCTCAGTCAATGTTCCACGGACATTCAAATGTTATATATCAAAATCTAAGTTAGCCCTTTCTGAATACAATAAAACTTATTTGAGTGTAATAGCTTTCATAGTTTTTACGTCACATTAAATCAAACAGCGCAAGTTTTTTTGGGGACACCCGGTACATAAAAATGTTACTATGATGAATTGATTTCAGTGCAATTAATCTTTTGTAACAGCAGTGCAAAATGGCCACAGAAAATGGCCATGTCGCTGAGTAGTCATTGCTTAGCATCGTGGGCTCAGTCAAAAATTTTCGTGCACATTTTGTTTTGCTAATACTTTGATAACAAAATAAGGTTTAAAGTGTTCTTAATTATTCCCGAGTCATCTTATAGTGTTTTGGAGCATAGCCTTTTCTTGATCTTAGAATTCTATCAGTAAAATCAAAAACTTTACCGACGTTTTCGCCTCATTAATATTTAATCAGTACACGTCAGCATATATGTACAATCTACGCATGCTCGATAAGCTAGCTAGCTCATTCTAGCTGTCATTTGTGGCCGCAATTTCCCATCGTGGATTGGCAGAAAAACACTGGGATATAAAATCAGCTTCGAGTAGTCGTTACGTAACGGTCACAGCCATTGCTTAAAAAAAAACAACAAAATATGACATTTATCTCTAACAAAACTTACATGGTTGTGTGAAGATTAGAATCACAACATACGTGTATCTTTACAATATTACAAATAAAAATTACAGCAATAATCACTAACTACAAATTAATGAATTGATTATAGCTAACAATAATTTATAATATATGATCGAATTAAAGTATAAATAAAAATTATAGTATTAGGTTAATGTGCAAATTGCATCTGTACCTCGTTGTTAAAAATAATTAGGCATCTATTAAAAAAGCAGACATCTATTAAAAAAGGACCGTTTGAAACGTTTTATTTTTTGGGAGAGTAAACGGATGC